TCCACATCAGCTATATCCTCAGCCCTTGTTACTTATTTATTTTTATTTTGAGACAGGTTCTCACTAAGTTTCTAAATTGTCAGGCTGAGTTCCAACTTGCAGTCCTCCTGCCTCTGCCTCCCAGAGTGCTGAGATTACAGGAGTGAGCCAGCACATGTGGCTGTGAGAAAACTTTTGAGAGCAAAACTGGGTGGTACTTTTCTTTTGCATAAACCTTACAACTAATATATATATATGTATTTTTTTTCTTCATTTGCATGAGGTTTGCAGTCATTTTGTGTCCCCTGCTCTCTCTTGAATTCTCACAATGGACCTGCCGGGACTACATTCCCCACCTCCAGTGACTGTGGAGTGGAGGAGACAAGGTCTGGTCCACCCTACTTGCTTTTTGCAGGGACCCACAAAACAGTTTCCTAATGAGCCCCACGGCATCCTCCGTGATTCCACCTACTCTATCCTCAACACTGAGACAGGGTGAATGTTTGAAACAGAAATCAGACGACAACTCTCTGCCGCACCAAACCGCAGGTCCCAGTGCTCTGCTGCCCAACCCCGTGCTGTTTCCTTCACCTCTCCTTTCTGTGGGTTTTCTCCAGCCACACAACGCCTTCCTAGGGTTGGTATGCAGCAGGCATGCTCCTGCCGCAGAGCTCATATGCCTGCTGGTCTCTCTCAGCCTGTTGGTCTTGGCCTGAAGTAAACTTCCCAGAGGTATGCACTTCCTGCCTCATCTATCTGTCTGCTCAGTGCCAGCTTCTTGAGATGTTGACTTGGACCATTCTATTAAAATGACAGTCCTGGTTTCGTCAACATTCGTGATTCCTCCTTCCTAGTGAATTTTTCCCCCCAGAATACCACCCATTCTGCTTTCTCCAAATTGGAGGCTAGAAACCCATCAAGAAGTGGCTGACTTCACAGAGGCGTGTGACAACCTTTTGAGAAGCTACCGTATTTATTTAGTGATGGCCTCCTCCCACTGGGCTATTAACAACAGCAGGACTGTGTCATTCTCTTTGGCCACTGCTGTATCCTCAGCATCTGTGTAGCATGGGGCCAGACACATGGTAGGAAGCCAGTAACTATTAGCAGAAGAATGAACAAACTGAGAGCACAGGGAATCCATGTATTCATTAGTCTTGTGCACTGTTGTTCTCCTAAGAGCTGAAACAGCATGGAACACATTGTAGCTGGTCAATAAGTAGTGAATAAAGCAAGCAAGGAAGAAATGATTCTTCACAGCTTGGTGTAGCTCCTCCCAGACATTTTCTTAGCCCTCACAGATTTATATATATTTGTAAAACATACCAACTTAAAAATAAAACCTAATATGATAACTTGAACTTCTTCCCATGGCATAAGTATTGTCTACACTATATTTGACTACTTCTGTTCACTATCTTTTCTTTGCTGATATAACACATCTTGTCACCCAAGAGCCGAGAGACAGATACACGACAACACCTGATAACAATGACTTACTGAAGTAGTGATTTATAAGGGGACAGACAGGTGGAGAGAGGTCCTGGCAATGTACTCTTCCCCGACGGCACACTGTAGCAAAATCTAGGCCAGGAATGAGAACAAGTTGGGGGATTTGGGGCCAAAGGGGAGTCATTGTATAGTTTGAAAAATTTCCCAGGATGATTTGGATGAGCCCCAGCATCTCCTGGAAAAACTCTGAAATGTAATGCAATGCACTTTTTTTAAAAAATCTAATTGTTTTTCTTAAAGTGATTCATTGTTCACTGTTAAAACACCATAACTTACTGACCCTATCTGCATTGTTGGCATTTGGATATTGGTAAATGTTTGCATTACAAACAACAGTGATGCAGATCCCTGTAACAGGAAACCCCTGGAGGGAATCCTTTCTCGCTGTGTGTTAACTACTCCATGACCACACACCACAGTGTTGGTGGCTGAGGGACTCTGGGCTCTGGGCTCCAGCACACAGAGCCATATGGGTGACAGAAGGAGAAGGTGGCCTGATCTTGAGAGGTCCCCTGCACTTCAGAGGCTCTTATGATGATCAAACATCCAAAGAGAACCAAATCACATATTTTGTTCTATTCTTTTGCCGTCACAGACAACCCAGAGAGGGTAGCTGGTGGTGTCTCCTGGGATGAAAACACAACCAATTCTGTTTTCTCCTAATGGGAGGCAACTGACTTCACAGAGCCATGTGACAACCCCATTCATTCACCCTGCCCAGAGCTAGGTTCCTCTCAGTGACCTCTGTCAGTTCACCTCATTCTTTGGTGTGTGGTTTTGCTTTATCATTAATTTAAATGGAGTAACAACAATTACTTAATTGGAATAATAACAAAGACTATAATGATCTCTCTAGTCTGTTGGAGAAGAATTAAGTGAATAATTAAAACCTTGATAAGCATTTCAAATATGCAAGTAGTTAAGGGAAAGTATACTGTAAAGCCAAGTGATTATGGGACACTCTCCAGATAAGACTAAGTAGGTGTGGAGGCTCCTGCCCAAGCGGCAGGCCACTCTGGAATCCCAGGAACCTGCTGGTAAAGATAGAGCAGCCTTAGGAATGACTGACCAGGAAGGAATACAGGGTTTCCTCCTCTGGTGTTTTCAGACCCAGGATAGACCAGATAACAGCTAGCAAAGAACAGGTACACAAATCTGGTTACTAAATAAACAGTACTAGTGAGACTCTCCAAGGACATGTGCTTTCACTCACTCATGACACTAACAAACATATGCACCAAGTCAAAAGTGCAAGGATATTAACTGCAGCCTAACTTTAACATAAATCATTGGAAATAGCCTGAGTGCTGAGTAGGAGACTAGAGACTGAATTATGGAAGTGAGAAGAAATAGATTATTGTTGTTGTTTCTGTTATTACTGAGGCACTGGGGATTATACCCAGGACTTTCACACTGAGTTTTATAGGTAGTCTTCTTTTCAGATTTTGAGACAAGGTCTTCCTATGCTGCCTAGGCTGGACTCAAACTTGGAATCCTGCTACCTCAGCCTCCCAAGTGCCAGGATTACAGACATAAGCCAGCCTGTCACACCAAGAAATAGATGGGGAGGGCCGGGGATTTAGCTCAGTGGTTTCGCCGCCTGCTACGTAAGCGCAAAGACCCGAGTTCGATCCCCGGTACCGGGAAAAAAAAAAAAAAGAAATAGATGGGGAAGTGGACATCAAAGGCTTGTGAAGAGTACTTCACCTTTTACTTTGCACATTCACATAGTTTGAAAGGTTTAGAGCAATAATGTAATTCATTGTGAAAAAACGTATTTTGTTTATACTGAAGTGTTTTCCTTACATAAAACAAACTTTTCTATTCTCTGACTCTTGATTAATAGTTAATATGTAACTTTTCCACTTGCTGGTGGTTATTTTTCTCCATTTCCAAAGAGTGAAGCATTCATGTCATATTTTTTCAGGGAACTCTGATGTTTTTCCTTTAGTATTTCTGTGCACTTTTTCATACTGTGATATGTTCCCACACAAATTATCACTATGTGTCCTCCTTCCTGGGTTTTAAAACTATAACTTCTGAGGAATGGGGGTGTAGCTTAGAGGTACTGCATATGTCTAGCCTGTGTGGGGCCATGGGTTTGATCTGTAGCACCACAAAAGAAAAAAAAAAAAGAGGAAAGAAAAGAAAAAGAAGATTCCTGGTAGGAGAAAAATTGAATTTGGGGATTGTTGTCAACACTTTATTTGCTGAATAAGAAAGAGCAATCCTCTATAATCATCATCAATTCATAGATACTTTAAAAAATGTAAGGACGTATTATTCTCACCTTTCAGATTTCATGAAGCAGACTAGATTAAAGAAAAACTAGCCAGGCATGGTGTGCACACCTGTAATCCCAGAACTCAGGGTACTGGGCAGGGGCTGAGGCAGGAGGATCACCTCGAGTTCCAGGCCAGCCTGGACTACATAGTGAGACCCTGTCTCAAAAAACAACCCCCCTCCAAAAAAAAAACAAAAACCAAAACAAAAAATATTTTCCAGGTCATTACAGAAAATAAAAGAAACCTTCTACTATTATGATATAAAACAATAGCATTTTTATTGTCCAAAAATTAACATGATCTCAGAATAGGCCATTCTTCATGTTGATATAGGTTTATGAAAACAAACTACATTGGTGAGAAAGCTACCACCTTAGCTTGTTTTTTAAGGTTATATTTGGCTGCAGACCAGGAAATGAAATTTATTATGAAATTCTTATCAAATTTAGGATGAGGAGAGAATGCCAGAACTTAGGAAGGGGCTTTCAGCTCAACTGGTAATGTTTTGTATATTACATGAGCTAAGTAGAGGAACATGGGTGTGACTCCTTCCAGTGATCCACTTATGCTAGGTGGCAATAATTAATGCTAATATTCCCACCATAAGCTGGCTCTGCAAAACCACTGAATTGGTTAAATGCATCCTCTTCAGGACATGGTTAAGGCATTTGCCCACACAGCACTCAGAGAACAAGTCAGGGGTCCCAGGAATTGTTTTCAGCAGTCTCTCTGCATGCAAACAGAGCTCTGACCTCTGAACTGTTAAGATAATTCTTCCCATGAGCATTTGTATATGCTTTGTCTCCCATTCCAATTAAAGCATAAGACTGTATAAAATTCAATTATTTCCAAGTCTCTAGAAAACATTACTCTAATACAAAACGTAACAGCAAATGCTTGCCATGTTTCAAATAATAGGAATCCTGAGAGCATATTAAGAAACAGGCTTATATATTAAAATATATTACTCATGTTTTTCAGCCTTAAATTGATCTTAGAGGCTTTGAGGAATCAAGAAAGGTGATTTTATCCTTTATATTCAAAGAAAAGAGCTCTACACAGTATCTACGGTAACTTGGTCCTTAGACCAAGGCAGTAGAGAACCCCTTCCATATGATGTTTTGATGGGTCTCTTCTTTTTATCTCTGATCATCGGAAAATGTTAAAAGATAATCCCATTAGAACAAAAGAAAAGGGGTGCTGGATACGCTCCTGCATACCCACCTGACAGCGAAGTGCAAAGCTGCTGGGCCTGGCTTCTTGGGCAAATCATGGTCAAGAACCCGGTGATCTAACTGCAGCCAGTTCTGCTGACCTCTGTGAGAGCAAAGCAAAGAAAGGATTCAGGGAACAGCTTGCTAACACACAGTGTGGGCAAAGCTGGAGGGAAACAGCTACTTTGAGACACTAAGGGAGAGAACCACCATTGCAAATCACAGACACGCCTGCCTCTGACCCAGCATTTCCAATTCCAGGAGTTTATGGAGATAGCGTGTGCATTTCAAAAATGATCTATACACAAACTCACTCACCATAGCATTACCGGCATTTGCAAAAGGACTAGCAATCACCTGAATGTCCTGTAGGGTTTTGTTAAAATAATTATCCACAGCTCTACGCTGAGCTAAAATGCAGTCTTAAATAGGCTGCAGAGCCTGTTTATAAGTTATTATGAACAGTTTTTGAGATACAATATTAAATTTTTAAAAAGCAAGATAACTAACAATAAGTATAGTATATTCTATACATTAATTAAAAGACTTGATATATAGGTGCATCCATATATAAAAATTCTCTTAGAGGATAAGAAACTGGTAATGCTGGCTACTTTGGGGAGGTCACAAACTGAGCAACATTTATTAATCTTTAAATTCTTATTAAATATGAAATACTTTAGTCAAGAAGGGGAAAACTTCTGGTTTAATGAAATCAAACAGACACAGATCCCAATATCACAGCCTTTAAAAATGTACAGGACAAATATTCTCTGCTCTTTCTGTTATGTACATTATGGACTTACTAATATTTAGGCAGCTGTTTATTTACTCAAGAGCTTCACCAAGTTCATGGGTGTAAATAGCTTTCTCTAGATTTTCACCTCTGAGGGATCAAAAGAGTTGATGACACTGTGGATTGCTTTCATGACTTTTCCAAGGTTGTCCAACTAGTCCATGCATTTTAGAGACCACTTTATTTGCTTACATAAAGTTCAATTTAAAAACATGCTGATGCGGTGTCAATTTGTAGCAAAATCTATAATGGACTGGAAGGCATTTTTCAACTTATTTTGGTCCTTGAGTAAATAATATAAAACAACATCAAGCTTGGTGTCTAATCCCAAGCAGTCTGGGAGGCTGAGGCAGGAAGAATGTGAGTTTAAACCCAGCCAGGGCAATTTAGTGACCTAGTGAAACCCTGTTTAAAAAGAGTTGCTGGGGATGTAGCTTAGCTCAAAGGCCCTGGGTGCAATCCCCTGTACTGGAGGAAAAAAATCAGAAAATTTTAAGCTATATTCATAAGTAGATAGGAAAAACAGATATAGTATTCTTTATTGAATAACTACTCTTTGTTCACCATTTTAGAACTTTTTACCTATTAAAGTGATACTTTACACAAAGTCTGCAAGGATAGTGGCAGAGCTGGGATTTGAACCCAGACTTCCAAAACAGGAGAAAATGAAACTAGAGGGTTAATTAGCATTTATAATAACTTTAGGTCAGTCTCTGTCACTTACCAATTTTAACACTGGAAAAAAATGTGTCTTTGTTTCCATAGTTACAAGATAAGGCTGCTCATAATTACCTCTAGATTTGCTTGGAGGGATAGTATAAAGATAAATAAACTGATATACATAACGTAAGAACATCTTAAAACTACTGCTTTCGTGTGTAAGGGAATGGGGGTAAGTTTAAAGAGTTGAAATTAAGGAATTCTTACACTATATTTCAAGTTTAGGATACCACTGATATTTATTTAGAAAGGGCAACACTACATAGTTCAGGCTGGCCTTGAAGTCACTATGTAGCCCAGGCTGGCTTCAAACTTATGGCGATCCTCCTGCCACAGCCACCCGGAGTGCTGGGATTACAGGTGTGTGCTACTATGCCCAGCAGGATGACATTGATTTAAAGACATCCGAATTTGAGATGTTCAAATGTGTGTCTTAAAACACACAAAATACTGTATTGTCCAGTATCTGGTCTCAAAAGTTTTCTTACGACAAATGGAACTAACTTTGGATTGTCCTTTATTCTTTTGTTGTTGAAAAGATGTGGTATCATTTAAAATGCACAATTTATATGAACTTGCATGGGTAAGAATGAGAGAAGCAAGTTTACAATAACATATACAACACAAACCAATTAGGGTAGCCACAGAAGCACAGTTAAAACAGTATTAAATATGGATGAAAAGTTTTAGGTATAGTTCTGGTGAGATTTAAAGCCAATTATTAAGATGAGTTATCTCGGGCCAGGATTTAGCTCAGTGGTTTCACCGCCTGCTGCGCAAGCACAAGAACCCGAGTTCCATGCCTAGTACCAAAAAAAAAAAAAAAAAAGATGAGTTATCTCTAGTGAACAAACTACGATTGGAATGGGAAGTAAGCAAAAGGGATTGGCTTCAACTATGACATTCAACATTTCTCTAAAAAGAGGTCTATGTGTATGTAACATAAAATGGTTTTAAAACTGTATACTAGAGCTGGGCATGGTGGTGCACCCCTGTGATCCCAGCACTCGAGAGGCTGAGGCAGGAGGATCACCTCGAGTTCGAGGCCAGTCTGGGCTACATAGCGAGTTCAGGACCAGCTTGAATTACAAAGGAAGACCCTGCCTCAAAAAAACCAATAAATAAAAATTAAAAAGTATATGCTAGAAATTAGACTTTTAAAGTCTGTAATCTCACTATGAAGAAAAAGTCCTGAAGACAAAAAAAAAATATTACCCATAATTTTACCACTGAGATATCATTAAGGTGATTTATTGCTTACAACCTGCTTATTTTAAGTGTTTTCATAGCAAATATAACAGATCTAATCACCTTAAAAAGACAGACATATCTGACCCTATCAGGCTGTGCAGACCAACCGAAAAACCAAACTTATTTTTGGACAGAATTACATTAATGGGAGATATGTCACTTCAGGCTACGGAAGGGACCGATCAGAAGTCACAGTTGTTGTTGTAAAGCCTATTTGTCATTTCCTCATAAAGAAATCTTACTCAGCACTCTTTCAAAACATGGAAGGGAGAAAAAAACATGGAAAGGGAAAAACATGAAATGGGGGAAGTGATAAAAACCATGACAGGGATCTACAGGGGCCGCCACCTCAGGAGGGCGAGACTGCCCTCTAGGGGAGGGAGATACACCCTGCACTCAGATCTCAAAGGCGCTGGGTACAGTACAGTATCATCTGGGAAATCATCCCTTCTCTCTAATCCCCCCCTGGATTTGTTCCTGCTGGCTGTCATTACTAACCCCGTTATGTAACTGCAGTCTATTTTTCCGTTTCTGCCCTTGGTCTACAGGCTGGGGTATAGACACTAGCTAGTTTCGTTGACCAAATGTCACATGTAGCTCCGGGTTACTCTAAAAAAGTTCACCAAAGGCACAAGGCTGATGTGGCATCTAGGATGGAAAAGGCCATTCAGACAGCACCCTGGAAGGGATCCGACTCGTTGGTTTCATGTGAGTGGAGGAGGGGAGTGCTGAAAAATGCTTTCCAAATATATTTACCAGACGAAGAAAAAAAAACAAACTAGCCTTGTGACTAAGACATTCCAGGGAGATACCTTTAGACATAAGCAATTTTCCAGGCCTGTTCCCCAGCCAGGTGGAAATGGCAAATTCTTCCCTCCCTTCCAAAAGCCAACTCATACTTCCCAAAGTAAATGTAGCCAGAGCTAGAAATAGATGGTGGTGTCACCTGCAGGGGAGAGCTGGGTGGGGAGGACATGTTGGGGCCAGAGTGGAGGAAAGTCGGAGCCTTGCCTGTGGGATCCCCAGCAGATACCTGGGGGGCGAGGTTGGCCAATCTTCTGCTGATACCGTTTAGAGAGGAATCCCCTGCCAGATGAGGCTGGCCCGGGTCCTCAAGGTTAGTCATTCCCATCACTCCTTTGCTTTCTGAAGAAGTCTGACTGCCTGACATATGCACGGTCTGGCTGTTGTTCACCAGAGCTCAGAGCTTTCCCAGAAGCTCTCAGGTGACCAGAACCTTCTTTACCAGGCCAGCATGAGTCCTGCAGCCTGAGGACCCTTTGGCACTGTGCTCATAAATCTGTTCCTCCACTGTGTGGCACATTCCAGCCTGGGAGTGGCTACCCCATCTCCGTGACTCACAGGGTCACCTGTGATTTTGTCCTGTGCTCACCTCTTCCGCCATGATTGGGCTGGTATCTTCACACTGGGTAAATGCTTCGTGTGTCCGTGCCTCTTTCCCAAAATGACTTTTGCCTGCAAGGCCGTGTCCTCTCCCTCCCATCTAAAGTCCACCTGCTAGGTCACATTCTAGTGACCCTCCTGTGAGAAGGTCAACCTGTCCCCCTGCACCCCTCTGCACAATCTCTTATTGCCATGACTACTAACAACAGGAAGTGGGCGCCCTTTCACTGCGTGGCTGTGCTGTGGCTCCACATATCTGATTTGGTGGACTAGTAGTATTACCCCCAGTACCCTACTATAGATGCCCTATGTGGTACTTACTATATAGGTACTATTATGATGTCCAAAGTACAGATGAGAAAACTTGAATGTCAGTGATGTCAAATAACTGCCCTAAAATCACATAGCTACTAATATTCTATCATGTCTCCCTTTGCCTTCATTTGCCCTCATCTTTTTGTTTTTATTTTTGTCTTTTGGTAATGGGGATCAGGGTCTCACTAAGTTGTCAAGTTGCCCAGCTTGGACTCAAACTTGTGACCTTCCTGCCTCAACCCCCACAGGAGCTGGGATTACAGGTTCACTACTGGCAAGTAGTCATTTTGGGGCAGTGATTGACTATGGCCATAGGCCTGGCAATGAGGGGAAGAATCGGGACTGTATACAGTAAGGAAGCAGGCTTCTGCAGAATTGGTTTCTGCTTTTTACTGGGGGTCACCTCGTAGACACCATTCTAGCCACTGTGTTTAAAATTGCCCCTGCCCACTTTTCCTGATATGGCTTCTCATTTTGTTCTTCAGTTACAATTGTGCTGTTTTCTCATTTATCTATGTTTGCTTGCTATGGTAGATGACATCCCTACAACAGAAACTCCATGCAAGCAGAGACCTTGTCTGTGACACTTGCAGCTGAATCCCTGGACATAGAGCAACATCTGGCCTTTAGTGGGTACTCAAGAAGTATTTGTTGAACAAATAAATGATTCTAGTATTCATGCTTTTAGTCTCCACTCTATGTGACCTTCTCCTAAATTATAGTGCTTATAGCAATTACAGTTTATACTATATCAGTTAGCCATTATGTATTTATGGCTTTATGTCTTGTACTGTTTGCTATTCTTTCATTTACTTCCAGGTTCAACTGTGCGCGCGCGTGTGTGTGTGTGTGTGTGTGTAATCATAGATTCACATGAACTGGTTTTGGCTTTCTGGCCAGAACTGTGGCCAGAGAATAGTTGCATTTCCCATTTCACCCAGCAGAGGGAAGATCATGGAACGTCTTTCAAATCGTGAAAAGATGTTTCTGTGCATCATAGGAGGTAGGTGATGCTCAGTTATTTTCGTCTGCTTTGCTGCACCATATTAAGGAAACATCATGAATTGAGAACCCAAGTTTTCAAGGTTTTCTACATTTCCTAACAGTTGCCTGACTTTTACCCGGCCAAAGTCTGCAGGGCTTTGTGTAGTCCAGGTCCTGAGGCTGTTGGCATTGCCTAGAGGTCCTAGGGTAATAGCCCACCCAGGCTGGAAATAGCTAGAAGCCACCTGGTGTTGAAAACAAATTAACTCCTTCTTGAAATTATTTTCCACCTGGTTGAACTCAAGTAATGAGAAAACACTTAAACTGAGTCATGGAAAGAATGCTGGGGCGGTTGGCCAACATATTTTGTGTCTGGAACATATTTTCTTAAATTTTAATATTTAAGGAACTTTTTGGAAATTATATCCAGACAGGGGAAGGATTTCTCTGATAATATATCCGGTCATATAAAATATAGACAAATTAGGCTGCCATGAGACAGACAGACATACAAACACACACACACATACACACACAAACAACATAAAGAAAAGAGCTTGTAACTCCAAACATACTCACTGACATAGAGTTTTAAATTTTTAGGGATTTGTTCTTCCATATTGTACCAGCCTCATTTCATAGACGATTTAAATTGTTGAGAAAAATATATGGATACACATATATCCATACACACAATATCCAACAACTTAGAGTATCAAATAGAAAAAAATAAATAGGAAAAAAAAGAAGAAAAGGAAGCCAAAAGGGCAATATAAAGCAGACCTAAGTTTCTGTCAGGAAGTTCATTCCATATTAAACTATACACATATTTTTTAGATGGGCCACACATATGTCTTTAAGCTTTATTGTCACCGACACTATCACATTAATTTAGTTTCAAGATGAGTGAAGAAAAAGTTACTATTTCTATCATTGATACATGAACTAAATTAGCAAGCCCAACCACATTCAGAAGCATGTAAAAACAGACTGCAGCTGAGAGTTATAAATTTGTTACCATAAATTTCTACAATACTTAGATAATATTTTGAGTTTTTCAAAGGCTAATATTCCTTTTCTTCTCCCTTTGCAATTGTTCTGGGGGAAAAAAAATCCTGTATTAAAAAATCTTTAAGGAAGAAATCCTCAAGTCCTTAAAGTGGTTTTTGTTTGTTTGTTTTTGTTTTTATTTTTGTTAAGCATGAATGAAAGCCAGTAGGTAGTCCCAGCAAAAAGTAAATAAATGAAAACTGTTAAAACACTTACGTGTCATCTATAAATGTTATTCCAAAATATTCCTTTTCTTTCAGGTTGAAATGCGAAGCCACGAGGTCCAGCAATTCCCTCGATAAAAGTTTGGGCTGTTAAAATAAACAATCTGATTAGAAGCGATTTGGTTACCTCTTGCTTATATTGGTGCCACTTTCTTTGGCCCTACATAGTTTAAGGAAATTTTTGCTTGCTGTTGTTTTTCTCCAATTTTTTTTTTTTTTTGGTACTGGGGATCAACTCAGGACCTTGCGCTTGCAAGGCAGGTGGTGGAACCACTGAGTTAAATCCTCGGCCCTTGCTTGCTGTTGTTTTTAAATACCTGCCCCCATTTGCAGATTAGGTTCAGCCACTGTAGGTTTTTCTTGAAGAGTTCTGGGAAGGAGCAGAGATGGGACCAGGAATATCAGTGAGATATTTGATATTTCATGGATTTGCAATTCCCCTGAGTACCTTACTTTTTCCCCCTCTAAGGTAACAGAGTGCTTACTAATATGTTGGTGTTTGGAAAAAATACTCCTTTATGTGTAGCATGATGCTAGTGACCAAGGTGAGGAATATTAAACACTTCACTCCTAGTTGCCTGCAATATCACAAAAGATTGTAGGAATAATTTTGACTGGTGGTGACCAGTCAAACAGACAAAACTCAAGGGTGCGGGGCTTCAGGGAAAACTAACAAGTGTGGTTACCATTTATTGTCCTGAACTTACATACTTTCATTCAATCCTTACAATAATAAGCCCATGAGATGGGGCTTTTTACTTCCATTTTATAAATGAGCCAACCAAGGCAAAGAGGTTGGCGTCTCACTTGATGCTGCATTGTTTTAGCCAAGGTTTTGAACCTGGTTCTGCCTCCTTCTGAAGCCTGAGGTGTTCATTTCTCTCTACAGATGGAGCCACTGAACCCACTCTGTGCAGCATTGTCAGGGTGAGTATTGAGCAGGGTGATCTAACCTATAAGCTTTTGGGAGCTCTGGAGCTGGCAGGGGAAACAAGGTTAGGAATCTGCCAGAATGTGCAGAGTTATGGCAGAGGCTGGGACTGCAGGAACTGGGGAAGGAAAGGGGCCTGCAGGAGGGGACTCAGGATGGATGTCTCTGAACTTGGACCCAGAGAGTTTGGGGACAGCATGGTGATCTGAAGGTTGGGGCTTTTCTGCTGGAGAAGAAAAGATGGACCTGATTTAAAGGAAAGTAGGAAAGAAAGAAAGGATGAAGGGATGGAGGGAAAGATAAAGAAAAGAAGGAAGAAAAGAAAAGAAAAAGGCAGAAATCCAGACTAAAACTTGTACTCTGCAGAAACTATGGCCAACAGTTCTGTTTTCATTCTAGATTATATATATATATATATATATATATAT